ATCAAAAGAAAATATCTTACTATATATTTGAATTGCTGGCGCCTTAATTTTCTATGGTAAAAAAAGCATAAAATTCCGAAAATTGCGTAAGTTCCACATTAACATATTTTGATAACTCTTACTATTTAGTACTAATAAATCCAGTTTTCGACGCTCTTTAATTTGGTATAAAATTCATTAGGTATTCAACTTGAAATAATGACGCTACCCCCCTAGCAAAAGGTTATGCACAACCCTGTATACTTTATATTTTCGGAGTAAATTCAAACTATAGGAAAAAGCTGAACTCATAATATTAGATATTTGTTGCATGAAAATTTGATATTATTATTTGAATAGATAAACTAAACAATTTTTAACCAAACATTTATTCACAATAAATATTACAAATACAAAAAACAAAAGGGAAAAAACTTTAACAGAAATATAGTTTCTGTATGGACACATCAGGTCAATGTTAAATGTTTTTATTCAATATTTTGCTCATTATGAATCATCGACTAAATCGTCATTTTATTTGAATAGGAGTTGAATATGATATTTTCTTTATACTACATCGATTCTTATTGACAACATTACATAATGATGTTGAATATAAGATGAATAGATGCACTTCAGCATAGTGATCACCAGTGACAAACCAACGTGTTGTTGTTTTTTCAATCCAGAATGATGAAGAATATGTATTTACGAGTGATCTAAGTACTGAAGCATTGTCATTTTTACAATATTGATTAAATATAAATAGAAAGTGAAAATTTTCTAGTAATGGCAAGTGATTTTGAATCAAATGTTCCCATTGAGCACCGTTGATACAATCTTCACAGACACAATGGTATTTAAATACTTTCAAATTAATCATTGATGGAATACGTTTAAGAATTAATTTAAGTTTATCAATTTTAGCCTTTAGACATTCAAATTTCAACGACTTGACTTGTATGCCCAATGGTGATACAAAATGTTTTGAGATTATTGCTAGAACAATATCCGACATATTGCAATCAAGTGATGTGAATTATTGTAGATGTGGTAGATTACGAAGTATGTTACAAAACTGATTATAAGAAATATTCTTCAATCTTCCATCGTACATGTTTTAGGCCACAGAATTTATTCGAAGAACTTCATTGGCAAAGGCAATGAGAGTTTACGAATAGTTGATGATGCAATCATCTATATATAAAGAGGCACCAACTCAGACGAGAAAAATCTCGATGAAACTATTGTTAGTGAGTTGAGTTTAGCAGTAATAGATGACAGAAAGGGATCTAACAAATGGTTAACACAACAGATTTCCGATGAACGATGTCGAGTACATCGACGAAGATTGATAAGAGAAAAAAATTTTTGAGTTGAAAGTTGATCAGTATTTCCTTTAAAAATAATAAGTTTGGTGATGTTTTCAGGTCGAATCATTTTACATGTACGAATAAAATTCTTCTTAGGTATATGATCAACATCCAATATGTATCCATCGTAGGACTTAACGGTCATTCGCAATTGTGTACAAACATAAAATATTGAAAAAAGAATTGTATCTATATCGAGATAGTCAAAATTACGATGAAGAATCTCGACAAGTAGTTGAAGTAAGATGGGAAAATTTGATTTCGATGTCATTTTTTGAAATAATCTAATAATTATTCAATCGTACTTTATATAAAAATAGATTCAAATAAACAACATACAATATCGCTTCAATCAATTATTTGTTGATGGATATACACGATTATGCATTTTGAAAACTGGAATAATTTGTTCAAAAAATATGAAAAGAAGTTAAACAAGTAGATCAAATACACATAAGATATCATGAATATTTTAAGGAATAAAATCATAGGTTTGATAAATTACTGGTAAAAAATGAAGTTTTTCATCTGTATATAGACCGATTGCTTGTATCTTGTAGAGAACTTTGTCACTATGGAGCTTAACTAGTCGTTTGTTCATTATCGTTTGCATCATTCTATTAAATATAATAAATTCGTTCAATATCATCAAGTTTTTTCATGGCTTAATTCAGCATAAGAAGTGTTATCAGAATATACAATGGTAATATGATTTCTCTATTCTACATCAATTAAGAAACTGAGATCATAAAAGAGTTGGCACGTTCTTGGATACGATACTAATGTTATAGGAATTCGTCTAACTTCGAGAATAAATAACAAACAATCACTTTTCTTGTTTAGATACAAATCTTCAAACTAAATCACGAAATAAAAAATAGTTGTGATGAATAAACTATAAAAATAAAGAAAAATTCTGCTATACATGTGTTTTCATTGGACTTTTTGCGAAAGAACATTGAGTCAAGAATTAAATGATATTCTAAATAGATGAAAATTGAAATTAATATCTTTCATCTAAAAGAACTTTCTAGTTCATTGCCTTTAGATAAATAAAAGCTAGTAAGCTTAAAAATTGATTAATTCTTGAGAAAAATCACAATTCTCGACTCTGTTAATTTCTACCCATACAATAAGATACAAGATCTATCGAAAATAATTGAAACAATTCTGACAATGAGTTTAATTTCATCTTTAATGTTGATCTGTGATTTTATCACACAGGATTATAATTTTAATCTGCGATTTTTACATTGCAATGCACTATTCAATGAACCAATGGTTTTCTTTCAATTTCGAAGTAGATCGAAGTGTGAATACTATTTGTTTGATTCTTGTCACAGAAAAAAAAAACTTTTTTGAAGTTCAAGTTCAGTTCGAATGAATGCCGATAAACAGATTCAAATAGACGTAGGTATGTGTTAGAATCTGTCGATTTGTGAATATTGATCATATATTCAGCTACGGCCTATAATTTTATATTTAAATTTGAAATAAAATTTATTATACAACAGATTATTAGTAAAACGAAAAGAATTTATCATTATGAAAAACGTTAGCTATTAACTGATTCTCAAGTTATTCGTTTGTTGACAATTATTAACTTGTCTTCAAAAGCTAAACTAATTCAATTACTGGTTGATTAACGTCATATATACGAATATTTTTGTTAAATTAAGATCATTAATCTGGAGATTTTTATTATTGAAAGATTATGCGTACCTTTTTCTATTTTCTGATTAGCGTATTCAATTTGAAATTTAATATTAAAGATAAGCTATGCGAATCTGCATAAGTCACTCTTACCATATGGAAGATGACCGTAATCAATAAGAATTATTTTAATTATCAATAGCGCAATTGATAGGATAACAATATCTTATCATTAACCTATATAAACAATTGTTTAAGTCAGGTTGATGAATTATAAAATGTTATTCGATTAAATATAATTTAAGATTAAGATTTCATCAGATTTTTTTATACATAAAAAAATATAATTAGAAAGCTTCTCTAGAACGATTGGATAATACATGACGGCTATAAAAAGGCAAACGGAAGTTTCTATATGTCATTTATATTGCATGAGAGATGACCATATAGTTACAGAGCTTATTGAACGATTTCATCAAACAAAATTTATTGATTAGTCAACAAATTGATTCTCTATTAAATAATTTTTTTGGTGATACAAAAATGTGATCAATATTCCATCCGAAGAATTGATGATAAACCAAGATCATTCATATCACATGGATGGTAATAAAACCGAGTTAGCATTTAAGAAATATTTTTATCTTATTTTAACCAACGTCATACGTGAAGAAGATGCCAATTCACTGCTTATTAAACAATTTTATCGATTATTATTATCATTATAATGCTTTTATTTCATCGAGAGAAATGTGTAGTTCCTTCTCACGTTTCAATGTCATGGACGAGCCATCGTTCCTGTGACCAGAAACCACATAAATTACACATTTCATTTAGTTACAACTAACAGTTCTAAAAAAAAAGGTTTATATCATCACATTAACATTGAATTCTTAATGAGTACAAAAAAGAAGACAAAAGAAAAGAGGAACATGAAGATGATGTACAATCAAATAGGTTTACAGAAACGAAAAAAAAACCCAGATATGATGCAATGTAGTTAGAAGCAAAAAGTACAATAAAATAAAGAGGTTTTGGGTTCGTTGATTAAACTATTTATTCCGTTTTGAAAAGTTGGATGGTTGTAGTATTAGCATAAATTGGAGATATTGGAAAAAAACTGACCAAAGTTGGAGAAATGTTTATGAGTTTTTCTTCTAGATTAGTTGAAACAATATCAATTTAATAATAATAATTATGTGTTTATGCCAGAATCAGCGGCCGAAAAAGAGAGATAGTCGCTGGTCTTTTGTCTTTTTCATTTTTATGCCATTCATTAAAAATGCTTCAAGTTAAGAGAGGCATAACTAAAGTGCCGAAAGCAAAGCACCATAAAGGCCAATAGTTGAATGGTAAAATTGTTATTAGTTCAATAGTTGCCATCAAGAATAAAATGACACTTATCCAGAGAAGAAGGGAAATCAACATCAATATACATGCACATTTACAATAGGCCCGTAACAACAAAAAACTAGAACAGAACATAAGTATATTTCACAGTATTTTCGCATGAAATCAATTACAGAAGAGCAGTGCCCGTAATAGACAGACCAAAGCTGATCTTGAGGATACTTTCAATTAGTAATAATTTGATGCATGACAGGGTTTTCGGTAACTGATTTGAATAAGTACAACTTACAAAAGAGCTACCGACCAAACGCATAACCATCCAGAGAAGAGAGCTATCAACAGACCAAGAGAACAGAGATTTGATGATGACATATTTTGATCGATTTGATTGATTAGAAGGATGAAAACATGAAGTTTAAGCTCTAGACTTATAATTATAAGACAGTAGCAAAAAATGTACACGTATTTATTCGCTCGAACATGCTTACTGAGTCATAGAAAGGAAGCAAAGTTTGTTGGAAATAAACTCGAACCTTAGCAATGCTGATTAGTTTACTTCCTATGAATCTTTTGTAGTGTGAAGTCATGCACAGTCTTGCGTCATTATTGGAACGACAGAAAGAGTCAGAGCGATTTTATGTGCTTCAGAGACGACCTATGAGAATATAGAACATCTACTAATAGCATGATACTATCAAAAGTTTTGATGCACACACTTTACTAACGGAAACGAATGAACATAAATGAAAACCTAGAAATATAAAATTTTACTTCTCGTATCATTTGTGTTTCTATAGTTATGCAACAAAATGCCTTGTACAATTAGACCTATATTGACATAGAGAAAGATAATTTTTTTCAACATAAAAATATTAAAACGTTATATCAAGAAGTCATCAGTAATATATTATGTATTCACACTTTATCTGCGATTAAAAGAAAGCAAATAAAAACGTACTTCACCTGTTTATTCATACTAGTTAGTTCCCTTTCTGTTTTTAGAAGCCAATGAATAAATAAAAAGAAGTAGAAAGCTTTGATATTATTTTTTATTTTAATCAAACAAAGTTGGATATTATTAATTAAAAGCAGAAAAAAGTGAATGTAAGCTTTTTGAAGATTAATCATTGAGTATGTTTTATTCCTTCTGTCAATAGTAAGAAGCTAACAATAGAAGCATTTTGATATTGTCATACTTGATAAAGTCTGATAAGTCAATATGTGCCTCGAAATGTCAACGTGAATGTATTTTCTATGACTCTAAACTTTCCGACTGTACTTTATGCAATTTATCAAACAATGTGTTTTTCTTTTTTAGACTCTTCTACAGTCTTTAGCAAATGAGTATAAAAACATCCAAGATGACAGATACGAAAGGTCAATCGAAGTGAAACGAAAATGCACTCTACATCCAGCAACGAACTTTCTCATCGAGTCAAAATGAGAAATTTGAATTATTTATAGTGATATACTTTGATGAACAATCAAATGATAGTTCACTGGATGTATTAACCATGAAATTGTTGTTTAGACAAATCAACAATGATTATTATCTGTTCTATCATGATACGATTACTAATTTCGATACTCTGAAACAATTTGAGAAAGAAAATAAAAAATTCTTCTAGTTATATCAGGTTCA